GCCTGGCCTGAATGATAACTACTGTAATATTGCTGAAGTCTGCATGATGAGGCTTCCCCGAGTTTACGCAAGATTTGACAGACCTGGTTTCCTTTTGGATGTGTGGTCGTCTGCATCAACTCAGGACTGCAGGAGATTAAGTGAGAACATAGAGGGTATTTTCTTTTTTTTTCATTTTTTGAGACGGAGTCTCCCTCTGACACCCAGGCTGGAGCTCAGTGGCACGATCTCGGCTCACTGCAAGCTCCACCTCCCGGGTTCAAGCCATTCTCCTGCCTCAGCCTCCTGATTAGCTGGGACTACAGGAGCCCACCACCACGGCCAGCTAATTTGTTTTTTTTTTTTTTTTTTTTTTTTTTTTTGAGACGGAGTCTCACGCTGTTGCCCAGGCTGGAGTGCAGTGGCGCGATCTCGGCTCACTGCAAGCTCCGCCTCCCAGGTTCCCGCCATTCTCCTGCCTCAGCCTCCTGAGTAGCTGGGACTACAGGTGCCCGCCACCGCGCCCGGCTACTTTTTTGTATTTTTAGTAGAGACGGGGTTTCACTGTGGTCTCGATCTCCTGACCTTGTGATCCGCCCGCCTCGGCCTCCCAAAGTGCTGGGATTACAGGCTTGAGCCACCGCACCCGGCATTTGTTTGTATTTTTAGTAGAGATGGGGTTTCACCATGTTAGCCAGGATGGTCTTGATCTCCTCCTGACCTCGTGATACACCTACCTCGGCCTCCCAAAGTGCTGGGATTACAGGCGTGAGCTACCGCGCCCGGCCATAGGGGGTATTTTCAAATGCTTTCTCAAAAAGAAAAGGCAAAAAAATTCTCAAAGAGAAAAGGCAAAAAAAAAAAAAAGAAGTCTCGATAGGAAAAATCTGACAAATGGAATCCTGGTGACCTGTTAATGGTTAATTCTCAGAACAGTGTCTCCGTGCATATCCTTGGCCAGCAGCCAGCACCTCAGTCCCCTGGAGTGGCAGTTGTAAGTCACTGGCATGGCCACAACAGTTTCTGAATTCGAGCTAAGGACAGAACTTTGTTTTTGTCCAGAATTCCCTCATAATTATTTTTGTTTTGTTTTGTTGTGTTTTGAGACGGAGTCTTGCTGTGTCGCCCAGCCTGGAGTGCAGTGGCACAATCTTGGCTCACTGCAACCTCCGCCTCCTAGGTTCAAGTGATGCTTCTGCTTCAGCCTCCCGAGTAGCTGGGATTAGAGGCGCTCACCACCACGCCCAGATAATTTTTGTATTTTTCACAGACAGGGGTTTCACCATGTTGGCCAGGCTGGTCTCCAACTGCTGACCTCAGGTGAACCACCTGCTTCAGCCTCCCAGAGTGCTGGGACTACAGGCATGAGCCACCGCCCCCGGCCCTAAATTGCCTTATTAAACAATTTCTCTTGCAGAAGCACAATGAGTGAAACTGGCATGAAGTCATTCCACTGAATAACCACATCAGTGAATTTCCTGGTCCTCTTTCAACAAACAAAAACAACTCGTGGTTTTCCAGGCTGGTTCATTTGAATCTACCCTCAACCAGCACCTGCCCAAGCTCCTGGCCTAGAAGAGGCACACGTGGCAGAAATACAAGCGGCCAGCAGAATAAATAGCATCAATGAAAAGAGTCAAACTTTGTAAAACATTTGAAGAGATCCATTCCGAGTCAAATCTGAGTGACCATGGCCTGTGGCCCAGCCCTCAAGAGACCCAGAGAACATGTGCCCGAGGTGGTTGGACACAGCTGGGATTTATACATTTCAGGGAGACATGAGACAGCAATTAAATACATTTAAGATATATATTGGGGCTAGCTGTGGTGGCTCACATCTGTAATCCCAGCACTTTGGGAAGCGGAGGCTAGTGGATCACTTGAGCTCAGGAGTTCGAGACCAGCCTGGGCAACGTGGCAAAACCCTGTCTCTACTAAAAATACAAAACATAGCCAGGTGTGGTGGCACACACCTGTGGGAAGTGGGAGGATCGCTGGAGCTGGGAAGTTGAGGCTGCAGCGAGCCGTGATTGCACCACTGCATTCCAGCCTGGGTAACAGAGCGAGACCCTGTCTCAAAAAAAAAAAAAAAAAAAAATACATTGGTTCAGAAAGGTAGGATAACTTGAAGTGGGAGGGCTTTCAGGTTATAGGTAGATTTTTAAATTTTCTGATTCACAATTGGTTAAAAGAGTTATTATCAATAGAAAGGAACGTCTGGGTTATGATAAGGGGTTGTGGAGAACCCTCCCCCAAAAATCCTCCAAATAGCAGGCTTCAGAGAATATATTGTAAACATTTCTTTCTTTTTTCTTTTTCTTTCTTTCTTTTTTTTTTTTTGAGACAGAGTCTCCCTCTGTCACCCAGGCTGGAGTGCAGTGGTGCGATCTTGGCTCACTGCAACCTCCACCTCCCAGGTTCAAGTGATTCTCCTGCTTCAGCCTCCTGAGTAGCTGGGATTATAGGTGTGTGCCATCACGCCTGGCTAATTTTTATATTTTTAGTAGAGATGGGGTTTCACCATGTTGTGCCACTGCATCCCAGCCTGGGCGACAGAGCAAGACTCTGTTTCAAAACAAACAAACAAAAAATAACGTGTGTATTTTTTGACCTAATTAAGAAAAGCTCCCATGTAATAAAACTTTCCAAAAACAGTCTTTCAAGTTTTTAAAGATATATGTATAAGGAGGTTCACTTCAGTGATATTTGTAAAAGGAAAACAATGAACAAAACAGAGTACATCAAGAGGCTTGTTGAATAAATGATGGTTGAATAAATGATGGTGCATTAAAATGTTGAAGACTTTTTTGTTTTGTTTTGTTTTTGTAGAGACAGGGTCTCACTCTGTCCCCCAGGTTGGAGTGCAGTGGCACAATCACGGCTCACTGCAGCCTCAAACTCCCAGGCTCAGGTGAGCCTCCTGCCTCAACTTTGGTAGTAGCTGTGATTACTGGCACATCCCTCCATACCGGGCTAATTTTTGTATTTTTTTGTAGAGATGGGGTTTCACCATGTTGTCCTGGATCACGAGGTCAGGAGTTTGAGACCAGCCTGGCCAACATGGTGAAACTCTGTCTCTACTAAAAATACAAAAATTAGCTGGGCGCGGTGGCGCATGCCTGTAGTCCCATCCACTTGGGAGGCCGAGACAGGAGAATTGCCTGAACCCGGGAGGCGGAGCTTGCAGTGAGCCGAGATGCGGCCACTGCACTCCAGCCTGGGTGACAGAGCGAGACTCCGTCTCAAAAAACAAAAAAAAAAAAAAAAGAAAAAAATAGTGCTCCTCATATTCAGCAAAAAGCAAAAAGCAAGCAGTTGGTGGTCACAGTAAGAGCAGTTTTGGTATGAATAAATACGGTTTAAAAATGTTTTTTTTTAAAAAAAACAAAACCCAAACATTTCTCAGGACTTTTGTGAGGACGAATTTTGAGTGGAGAAAACGGACAAATACATTTCCCCATATATTTAAATGCTCAAAAGTTCACTCAGGTGCTCTCACCAGGCAATTACCATGACAAGTGATCTTGTGTGAAAATACAGAGAATCTGGCTCGTTTTAAGAAGTGCAAGAGAAAAGCAAGGCCTTACGGTTTCTGAATTTGGTGTGTGTGTGTATGTGTGTGTGTGTGTGTGAAGATGTGGTCTCACTCTGAAGCGCAGACAGGAGTGCAGTGGCAAGATCGTAGCTCACCGTGGCCTCAAACTCCTGGATTCAAGAAGTGATCGGCCGGGCGCTGTGGCCCACGCCTGTAATCCCAGCACTTTGGGAGGCCGAGGCGGGCGGATCACGAGGTCAGGAGATCCAGACCATCCTGGCTAACATGGTGAAACCACGTCTCTACTGAAAATACAAAAAATTAGCCGAGCGTGGTGGCGGGCGCCTGTAGTCCCAGCTACTCGGGAGGCTGAGGCAGGAGAATGGTGTGAACCCGGGAGGCGGAGCTTGCAATGAGCCGAGATCGTGCCACTGCACTCCAGCCTGGGCAACAGAGCAAGACTCCATCTCAGAAAAAAAAAAAAAAAGGCCGGGCGCGGTGGCTCACGCCTGTAATCCCAGCACTTTGGGAGGCCGAGGCGGGCGGATCACAAGGTCAGGAGATCGAGAACACGGTGAAACCCCGTCTCTACTAAAAATACAAAAAATTAGCCGGGCGCGGTTGTGGGCGCCTGTAGTCCCAGCTACTCGGGAGGCTGAGGCAGGAGAATGGCGTGAACCCGGGAGGCGGAGCTTGCAGTGAGCCGAGATCGCTCCACTGCACTCCAGCCTGGGCGACAGAGCGAGACTCCGTCTCAAAAAAAAAAAAAAAAAAAAAAAAAAAAGTGATTCTCCCGCCCCAGACTCCGGAGTAGCTAGGACTACAGGCATGCACCACTATGTCTAGCTTTTTTTTTTTTTTTTAGTTTTCTGTAAAGATGGGGTCTTGCTATGTTGTCCAGGATGGTCTCAAACTCCTGGGCTCAAGCGATCCTCCTGCTTTGGCCTCCCAACGTGCTGGCGATATAGGTATGAGCCAGGCCACATTGCTGAACTTGGAAAGTGGAGCAAAGAATCATACAAAAAATTAAGAAAACCAAAACGAAACCAAGGCGAACTCAATTGCATTTTTTTTTTTCAGCGCGACACTTTGTAAGGCACGAACCTCTCTCTTAGGCGGACCTATTCCAGGGCGCCCTTTATTTTCATTTCTTGAAACAACAGCCTCGCAGGCCAAGCCGCGGTTCCCGAGAACTCGGCTGCCACCCGGAGCAGGTTGCATGGACCCAGGAGCGCGAGCGGCCCTGCTCTGCCAGCTTCGGCCAATCAGAGGCCAGGCAGCGGTGGGCGTGGCGTGGGGCGGTGCGCGGGGCGGGCGGTGGCTGGGGCGCGTGCTCTCGCTTGGTCGCTGGGTCTGCGCCTTCCCGGGTCAGTGCGCTGAGGCCTCCGTATCGCCGCTGCCGCCTGCGCTTAGGCTGCCGCTGCCGCCGCCGCCCGCGCCTAGCCTGCCGCGGCACGCCCGGCTGCACGCTTTGCTTGGCCTCGCCATGCCGGTGGACCTCAGCAAGTGGTCCGGGCCCTTGAGCCTGCAAGAAGTGGACGAGCAGCCGCAGCACCCGCTGCATGTCACCTACGCCGGGGCGGCGTTGGACGAGCTGGGCAAAGTGCTGACGCCCACTCAGGTACACCGGGCGGCGGGCGTGCAGCAAGCGGCCCGGCGCGGAGGCCTGTGCCGGCCGCCTGGGTGGGACCCAGCGGAAACAGGGCCAGGGGCGATGGGGAGGTTCAGCCTGCGTGTGTCGAGGCCCCCCAGGACAGAGGTACCGGGGTCCGTGTCCCATGCCTGGGGGCCACCTCGAGCACCGGGAACCTGGCCTGTGGCGTGGCCAGGCAGGTTCGGCCTGCAGCAGAAATTCATTCACTTTTCCCGGGCTTCGGGCCCAAGAGGGGCCTAGGTCCGGAAACAGGCCGGATCCCCCTCTCCCTCAACGGGGCAGGGCGCTGAAGAGGGACGTCCCCGAGAAGGAGTAGACTGTGGCCGTTCGGACGCCCCCGCCCCCAGAGCTTCCCCTAGGGCGTCAGCATTTTAGGCCTCGTTTTGGAGGGCTGAGAGCCTGTGACGCATTATGTAACTGGCGATGAGCGCGCCGGCCGATTTCTCTTTTGTTAAATCGGTCGACAGCGTGCAGCCGGAACGCTGGAGGGCGACGGTTTAGTTTTGCTGTTTGACCTCCCACGCCCACGGGGCTGGGGCTGCTGAAAGTGAAGAAACTAGATTTGCAGACGCCACTGCTAGTTGGTTATGAAGCTCCGGGCAACAGTGTTAAATAAACTGTCCCGACCTTACATTGTTTTTGATGTTCACAGAATTTAAATTTTTTGGATGTTTACATATGAAGTGGCCATCTAACATAGCCTCCCTTTCCCTGCCCCCGTCTCACCACCTTGGCTTTCTCCTTTTCTTTGCACTTTGAAACGTTAATGCAGATTTCACTTTAGCAGGCCCCAGGTAGCCTCGTGATCACCAAATCCAGAAACCCTGTGATTCCGGACAGACAATGTAAGGGTGTCCTTGGGAGGGGGACTCAGTGCCAAGGTTGGAATCCCAGCCTCATCTGTTTCTGTTAATAGTGTGCTGGGACACTAGCCCCGTGGTGTTGTTGGGACTGAAATAATACACAGCCTGGGCAACATAGTAAGACCCCAACTCTAAAAAAAAAAATGGCCAGGCGTGATGGTGTGAGCCTGTAGTTCCCAGCTACTCAGGAGGCTGAGGTGGGAGGATCGATTGAGCCCTCCCTGGAGGTTGAGGCTACAGTGAGCCTTGATAGCGTCACTACACTGCGGCCTGGGGGACAGAAGGAGACCTGGTCTCAAAATAAATAAATAAGATAAATGATGTATATAAAACTCCAGCTCCTGGCTCTTACAGTCAATACAGGGTCATTGATTTTATTAAAAATCTATTCCGTTTTGTCTTTGAAGAGTCCGAGATCAAAGAAAGAGTATCGGTTTCTTCAGGATTTCTCTTTTTTTTCGAGACAGAGTCTCACTCTGTCGCCCAGTCTGGAGTGCAGTGGGGTGAGCTTGGCTCACTGCAGCCTCTGCCTCCCCAGCTCAAGCGATCCTCCCACCACCTCGGCCTCCCGAGTAGCTGGGATTACAGGTGCCCGCCACCACGCCCAGCTAATTTTTGAATTTTTAGTAGAGACGGGTTTCACCGTGTTGGCCAGGCTGGTCTCAAACCCCTGACCTCAAGTGATCCTCTCTTCTGGGCCTCCCAAAGTGCTGGGATTACAGGCGTGAGCCACCACACCCAGCCAGTTTCTTCAGCATTTCTGACTTTTTTACTCCAAACTGATTCCTTCATACAGGTTAAGAATAGACCCACCAGCATTTCGTGGGATGGTCTTGATTCAGGGAAGCTCTACACCTTGGTCCTGACAGACCCGGATGCTCCCAGCAGGAAGGATCCCAAATACAGGTGAGAGTTGGGAAAGACGAGGAAGAGCAGGTCATGCAGGCATGACTTATCGGGTGTAAGTTCCTTGCTGGACATGGAGAAGTAGACCTGGTTTGGGATCCCCCCACCCATGCTTAAGCCAGAGAATGCCTTTCCTGCCCTTTTGCCCCCTACAGCGGGTATCTGTAACTCACAGCCGAGAGCCATATCTACCTGTGGCTTGTTTTTGTACGGCCCCATGAGCTAAGAATGGTTTTTACATTTTTATTTTTTATTTTTTTGAGACAGAGTCTCAGTCAGTCACCCAGGCTGCAGTGCAGTGGCATGATCTTGGCTCACTGCAACCTCCACCTCCCGGGTTCAAGTGATTCTTATGCCTCAGCCTCCTGAGTAGCTGGAATTACAGGCACCCACCACCGTGCCTGGCTAATTTTTGTATTTTTAGTACAGACAGGGTTTCACCATGTTGGCCAGGCTGCTCTCGAACTCCTGACCTCAGGTGATCTGCCCGCCTCAGTCTCCCAAAGTGCTGGGATTACAGGTGTGAGCCACCGCGCCCGGCCTGGTTTTACCATTTTTAAATGATCGGTGAAAAATTGAAAGAAGAATAGTACTTTCTGATGTGGAAATTAGACAAAATTTACGTGTCAGTGTCCATCAGTTATGTTTTATTGGAGCACAGCCGTGTGTCATCTGTGGCTGCTTTCGTGCTGCCGAGGCCAAGTTGAATAGTTGCGGCAGAGACTGCGGCCCCCACAGCTTAACACGTTTATTCTCTGGGCTTTTAATGGAAAGTTTGCTGACCTTTGCTCTAGAAAAAGAGGGTGGGAGGGGCTGGGTCTGCTCTTCTGCAAACCCCTGAGGTTCGTGCCAGCCTCTGAGAAAGTGAGGACTGTTGTTTGCGGCAGTGTTCTGGCACCCCGCATGTTCTCGATGCCAATGTTCTGGCACCCCGCATGTTCTCGATGCCAGTGTTCTGGCACCCAGCATGTTCTCGATGCCAGTGTTCTGGCACCCCGCATGTTCTCGATGCCCCGTTGCTGGCTGTGCAGTGAGTGTTCCTGATCTTCTGTGGTGCTGACATCCCGTGTTTCTTCGTGCAGGGAATGGCATCATTTCCTGGTGGTCAACATGAAGGGCAATGACATCAGCAGTGGCACAGTCCTCTCCGATTATGTGGGCTCAGGGCCTCCTAAGGGCACAGGTTAGTAAAGGTGGTTTTTGGTGGGAGGGTTGGGAGGGAGCTCGGGTGCACATTCGGATTGGCTCAGTGCTTTTTTCTTTTCTTTTCTTTTTTTTGAGACGGAGTCTCACTCTTGTCACCCAGGCTGGAGTGCAGTGGCGCCATCTCGGCTCACTGCAAGCTCCACCTCCTGGGTTCATGCCATTCTGAAGCCTCAGCCTCCCGAGTAGCTGGGACTACAGGCGCCCGCCACCTCGCCCAGCTAATTTTTGTATTTTTAGTTGACACGGGGTTTCACCATGTTAGCCAGGATAGTCTTGATCTCCTGACGTCATGATCCGCCTGCCTCGGCTTCCCAAAGTGCAGGGATTACAGGCGTGAGCCACCGCGCCTGCCTTTTTTCTTTTCTTTTGAGAGCCCTTAACCCTGCTGGAAATAGCATCTCAGCTCACCTGTAGGGCAGCTGCCTTCAGGGCACACATTCACACCTGCAGGAGTGTCAGGTGGCTAGAGCCTTGGGTTCTGGACAGATGTGTGGAGTGGCCTCTGTGTGGAGTGGCCTCTGCATCCCTAGCCCTTTAGCAAGCAGGGAAGTCGGTGAGAGGGAATCACTGTTGCGGAAAGCTTAGCATGGCCTTTTGGGGCTGCGCTGGGTGGAATACACAGTTAAACTATCTCAGGCCTTTGCCCGGGGTGATCTTTGAGTTGCTAATTCTATAAAAAATTTCAGAAATGATCAGTTTCCAAATTAACTATATAAGGTTGCCTTCTGCATTCATTTTTTGCTCCCTCTTTCTGAAAAAGTCTAGCTTGGTATATTGAAAAAAGATTTGGAAGACTTCAGCAGAACTCTATTGAAGACACACACACACTCATTGTATTGTGTTGTATCGTGTTACAGCTATTACATATAAAATACATGTGGACATCTAGAGATAGAAAGAGAAAGGCCGCCGTATTGAAACTTTGAGGTTGGGTAAGTGCTGCCTAAGCTGATGGCGAGAGATGCATTCTACTGCCTGCTGTTCAGTGCAGGATGTTTCCATTTGGTGGAACTGTCACAATCCTAGCTTTCGCACAGCTTATCCAGCCAGGAGTTAACATGAAGGGGTATAAGAACATCCCTGACATGGACAGTTCGTCACGGGATCTTGTTTTCTCTGGAGACCGGGAAGCTTCAGATGCCTTTAAACCCTCTCACGTATGCATAGTAAATGGTAAAGGGACAGATTTCCCAGGGACCTATTAAGTTGTCTAGGGCAGTTATAAAATTAGGCAGCTTAATTATGGGAAGCTTACCCATGAGAATAAAGCAGTTCTCTCAAGTAAGAGCTGTGTTCTCATTTTTAAAAAAAGCCTCAGTAACTCATTTTCTTGTTGTTGCTTTTTCCATATTCTCGTAGTATGGTATAATTTACATGTAACAAAATGCACAGATCGGAAGGGTTCAGTCAGCAAATGTGATCAATGCCTACACCCATGGAAGGTACCAGCCATTGGAAAGATAGATGACATTTCCATCCTCCAGCAAGTTCTCATGTGACCTTTTTACTTAAATTCCCCCAGAGCTAACCATATTCTGACTCCTGTCTCCATAAATCACTTTCACTATTCTTTTTCTTCTTTTTTTTCTGAGATGGAGTCTCGCTCTGTCTCCCAGGCTGTATTGCAATGGCTTGATCTCAGCTCACTGCAACCTCCACCTCCTGGGTTCAAATGATTCTCCTGCCTTAGCCTCCTAAGTAGCTGGGATGACAGGCAGACGCCACCATGCCCAGCTAATTTTTGTATTTTTAGTATAGACAGGGTTTCTCCATGTTCCAGGCTGGTCTTGAACTCCTGACCGCAGATGATCTGCCTGGCTCGGCCTCCCAAAGTGCTGGGATTACAGGTGTGAGCCACCGTGCCTGGCCCGCCATATATTCTTGTATGTATACATTCTTGTCATTTTGTAGGCAGGTGTTTCCATTTTTCTTGGGTGAATACTGAAGAGTAGAATTGTTAGTCATGGAAATTTCCCCAAGGTTCTCCAAATGGTTGAAGATGTTATACTTTAGCTGCAGTGAGCTGTGATCACACCACTGCATTCGGGGCTTGGTGATAGGGATCCTGTCTTAAAGAAAAAAGAAAAAGAAAACTTTATACTCTGATCAGCAATATCTGAAAGTTTCAGTAGAGCATATAACATCCTTGTAGCTCCATGCCAGCATTAGGTGTTGTCAGTCAGTTTTTTTTTTCTTTTTGAGACAGAGTATCGCACTGTCGCCCAAGCTGGAGTGCAGTGGCGCCATCTCAGCTCACTTCAAGCTCCGCCTCCCGGGTTTATGCCGTTCTTCTGCCTCAGCCTCCCGAGTAGCTGGGGCTACAGGCGCCCAGCACCGTGCCCGGCTAATTTTTTGTATTTTTAGTAGAGACAAGATTTCACTGTGTTAGCCAGGATGGTCTTGATCTCCTGACCTCGTGATCCACCCGCCTTGGCCTCCCAAAGTGCTGGGATTACAGGTGTGAGCCACCATGCTCAGCCTGGTCTTTTTGACTTTAAACACGTAAGTTAGTGTAAAATGGGCCGGGCGCGGTGGCTCAAGCCTGTAATCCCAGCACTTTGGGAGGCCGAGATGGGCGGATCACGAGGTCAGGAGATCGAGACCATCCTGGCTAACACGGTGAAACCCCGTCTCTACTAAAAAAATACAAAAAACTAGCCGGGCGAGGTGGCGGGCGCCTGTAGTCCCAGCTACTCGGGAGACTGAGGCAGGAGAATGGCGTAAACCTGGGAGGCGGAGCTTGCAGTGAGCTGAGATCCGGCCACTGTACTCCAACCTGGGCGGCAGAGCGAGACTCCGTCTCAAAAAAAAAAAAAAAAAAAGTTAGTGTAAAATGGTGCCATTTAGGCCAAGCGCGGTGGCTCACACCTGTAATCCCAGCACTTCAGGAGGCCGAAGTGGGCGAATAACGAGGTCAGGAGATCGAGACCATCCTGGCTAACACGGTGAAACCCGTCTCTACTAAAAATACAAAAAATTAGCCAGCCATGGTGGCGGGTGCCTGTAATCCCAGCTACTCAGGAGGCTGAGGCAGAGAATGGTGGGACCAGGGAGGCGGAACTTGAAGTGAGCTAAGATCGTGCCACTGTACTCCAGCCTGGGCGACAGAGTGAGAGTCCTTCTCAAAAAAAAAAAAAAAAAAGCCCTTTTGTGGTTTTACTGTTCATCACCCTGATGACTAATGAGGTTTTAATGTCCTTATGACCATTCTTGTTTTGTAACTTGCTTTACTTGCTTTTTGAAAGCTATTTTTTTTAACTCTTATAAAAACATATAAAATTTACCATCTTTTTGTTTGTTTGTTTGGTTTTTGAGACAGAGTTTCACTCTTATTGCCCAGGCTGGAGTGCAGTGGCGCCGTCTCGGCTCACCACAACCTCCGCCTCCCAGGTTCAAGCAATTCTCCTGCCTCAGCCTCCTGAGTAGCCGGGATTACAGGCATGTGCCACCACACCCGGCTAATTTTGTATTTTTAGTAGAGACAGGGTTTCTCCATGTTGGTCAGGCTGGTCTCAAACTCCCGACCTCAGGTGATCTGCCCGCCTTGGCCTCCCAAAATGCTGGCATTACAGGCAAGAGCCACCATGCCTGGCAAAATTTACCACCTTAACCCTTTTTTTGAGGCTGGAGTGCAGTGGTGTGATCCCAGCTCACTTCAGCCTCCACCTCCCAGGTTCAAGTGATCTTCCCACCTCTGCCTCCTGAGTAGCTAGGATTAGAGGCACGCGCCACCACGCCTGGCTAATTTTTGTATTTTTAGTAGAGACGGGGTTTCACCATCTTGGCCAAGCTGGTCTCAAACTCCTGACAAGGGATCCACCTGCCTTAGCCTCTCAAAGTGCTGGGATTACAGGCGTGAGCCACCGCACCCCCTCCATCCTAACCATTTTTAAGTGTACACTGCAGTAGTGTTAACTACATTCACACTGGGTTTTTTTTTTTTTTTTTTTTGGAGATAGGGTCTTACTCTGTCCCCTAGGCTGGAGCGCAGTGGCATGTTTTCAGCTCACTGCAGGGCTCAGCTCACCTCCTGGGCTCAGGCAACCCTCCCACCTCAGGCTCCTGAGAAGCTGGGACTACAGGCACAGGCTGCCACATCCAGTGAATTTTTCTATTTCTGGTAGAGATGGGGTTTCACCATATTGCCCAAACTGGTCTCAAATTCCTCCTGCTGGGCTCAGGCGACCCTCCCATCCTGGCCTCCCAAAGTCCTGGGATTATAGGCCTGAGCTACCTTGCCCGGCCACTGCGTTCACATTGTTGTGAAACAGATCTCTAGATTTTTCATCTTCCCTAACAGAAACCCTGTCCCCATTGAACAACAGCTCCCCATTTCCCTTCCCCTAGCCCTGGCAGCCATCATTCCGCTTTCTGTTGCAGTGTTTGTCTATTTTACATACCTCGTGGAATTGTACAATATTTGTCTTGTGACTGGCTAATTTCACTAATGTAATGTTCTCAAGGTTCTTCTCTGGTGTAGCATGTGTCTGAATTTCTTTTTAAGGCTGAATAGTCCTAGAGTAACACAGAGGAGTAAAGAAAAAATAAAAGGCTGGATAATATTCTGTTGTGTGTATAAACCATATTCTGATCATCCATTCAGCCATCAGTGGACAGTCGAGTTGCTTCTGCTTCTTGGCTATTGTGAATACTGCTGCATTGAACATCGGTGTGCAAACATTTAAAGAACTTTTTTAAAAATAACTTTTTTGGCCAGGTGTGGTGGCTGAAGCCTGTAATCCCAGCACTTTGGGAGGCTGAGGTGGGCGGATCATGAGGTCAGGAGATTGAGACCATCCTGGCTAACACGGTGAAACCCCATCTCTACTAAAAATACAAAAAATTAGCCAGGCGAGGTGGCGGGCTCCTGTAGTCCCAGCTACTTGAGAGGCTGAGGCAGGAGAATGGTGCGAACCCGGGAGGTGGAGCTTGCAGTGAGCCAAGATCATGCCACTGCACTCCAGCCTGGGCAACAGAGCAAGACCCTGTCTCAAAAAATAATAATAATAATAATAAAAAAAAATTTGTTCTGGCTGGGGCAGTGGCTCACAGCTGTAATCCCAGCACTTTGGGAGGCTTAGGTGGGCAGATCACTTGAGGTCAGGAGTTTCGCCAACATGGTGAAACCTGGTCTCTACTAAAAATATTTAAAAAAAAAAAAAAAAAAGCTGGGCGTGGTGGTGCATACCTGTAATCCCACCTACTCAGGAGACTGAGGCAGGAGAATCACTTGAATCTGGGAGGCTGAGGTTGCAGTGAGCCAAGATCATGCCACTGCACTCCACACCTAGGCAAGAGAGTGAGACTCCATCTCAAAAACAAAAACAAAAACAAAAACAAAACCCACTTTAAAAAAGAAAACAAAACCTACTTTTACAAAAAAAGCTCATGGTACCTATTTGCATCCAGTATATCATTGAAGCTTGTAGAAAGCTGCTTAAAGTGAGTTTGGGTCACGTCAAAGTAGGTCTCCAGTTTTCTAAGGAAGTAAGTTTTGGAGATAGAAAGAAAATGTTCTCCTTTATTCTGGAGGCTCGATTGTGGTATGGTGGGCCCTAGTCATTGATTTGCTTTGTCCTTAATTGGGTTCTCATACCTGACAGAAGTGAAACGGGTGTTCTGATCGGAGGTGGTGGGTGGTGACTTGAGATTGGCTGGGAGCCTGAAGTGGGGTGAATGAAGAGCACAGAGCCTCGTGGGAGGCGAGGATAAGGGGGTGCAGAGGCCAGATCCCACAGGCCAGGAGAGGCTGGAACTAAGGGCTTGGGCTTTACACGTTACAGCAGGGGCCTAACACATTCTATTAGGTTGGTGGCAAAAGTAATTGCGGTTTTTGCCATTAATATGTTAATTGCCATTAAATGTTAATTTGTACCAAATACCTGTCTGGACCCTTGGTGTCCTCCTTGTAAATGGTGTGGTATGGGTGCCTCCATGTTGAAACATTCGATAAAAACCAGTGATGTCCCCATCTCAAGTGCTGGGCTATGTGTACATCTTCCCTCTGCCTCTCCCCACAGGCCTCCACCGCTACGTCTGGCTGGTTTACGAGCAGGCCAGGCCGCTAAAGTGTGACGAGCCCATCCTCAGCAACCGATCTGGAGACCACCGTGGCAAATTCAAGGTGGCGTCCTTCCGTAAAAAGTACGAGCTCGGGGCCCCGGTGGCCGGCGCGTGTTACCAGGCCGAGTGGGACGACTATGTGCCCAAACTGTACGAGCAGCTGTCTGGGAAGTAGGGGGTTAGCTTGGGGATCTGAAGTGTCCTGGAGGCCCCAAGCCCTGTTCCCTAGTTCAGTGTTGCATGTATAATAGATTTCTCCTCTTCCTGCCCCCCTTGGCACAGACGACACCTGGCCAGTCAGATGGTGTTTGAGGGTGGCTTTTCCTGCTGCCTGACCTTTCTAATTTTACTCACTCACTCTGATTTATGTTTTGATCAAATTTGAACTTCGTTTTGGGGGATATGTTGGTACTGTGATGGGGTCATCAAATTGTTCATCTGAAAATAGCAACCCAGAATGTAAAAAAGAAAAAATCGGGGAGGTGGGGGAGAAAGACCAGTTCTACAGTGACAGAGCAAAGCGTCAAATAATCTTTAAGGGAGGTTAAAAAAAAAAAAAAAGATTGGTTGCCTCTGCCTTTGTGAACCTGAGTCCAGAATGGTACACAATGTGTTTTTATGGTGATGTCGCTAACCTAGACAAGCAGAGGCTGGCATTGAGGCTGACCCCCAACACGGTACATCTCAGATGCCTCGACAGGCATCAGCATGTCGCTGTGCCCCCTTTAAAGAGCAGTCCTGGAAGAGGCAGGAGGAAGAGTAGCTTTGCTGCCGTTGGGACGTGGCCATGGAGACCAGCAGCAGCGCTCGCTGACAGCTTAGGAGGAATCCTTACATCTTTGTCTGTTAAATTGATCGTTCTCATGGGGGTCAGAAAAGCTGGTCTGGAATCGCTGAATGTTGCATTAATTGTGCTGTTTGCTTATAGTTGAATAAAAATAGAAACCTGAATGGAGGAACCGAGTCCCCGGATGTTTTGTCCTATTGGGTGTGGGTTTCATAAGCCTGGGAAGGCAAAGTCTCTCAGGGTGAGTCGTCTCCGTGACCAGCAAGTAATGGCTGGGACTTGTTTCAGGGGCCGTACGGAGGGTCCGTGCCTCTACATGTGCCATTAACCCACAGTAGGAGCAAACCGTTAGACTTGAGGTTTCTAAAAAAAAAAAATCATAAAACGTGAGGCCGAGTCGTCTTGCCCAAAAAGCACCTTTGCTTCAAGTGGTCCTTTTGACCTGAGTGGGATGTTCTGAAGAAGCCGGCTGAAAACCGTCCCGCTTGGTGAAGTCTGGTGCGGACGCTGTAACAATGCCTAAGAAGTAGCCTGCACTTTCCGTTCTCGTGTGTTCTCCACAGAGGATCAGCACCAAAGAGGTGCGCAGGGTAGGAGGGTGAGAAGGTCACGGTCTCATGCCATCTGAGGAACCAAAAGAAAGGAAAGGAGGTGTTTGAAGGTGCAAATCACTGATTTGGTGTCTGCAATGGAAAGGGGGGATCCTGAATCAGGCCTGACAGGCGCTAATGACTGGCGCTTCCCCATCTTTCACTGCAGTACTTTTTTTTTCTGAAAAAACTTGAAAATGTTGCCTCGCTGGAAGCACATAAGGTAGATGTAAGTTTTCTTGTTTTTTTATTTTTTTGAGATAGAGTCTTGCCCTGTCACCCAGGCCGATCTCGGCTCACTGCAACCTCCACCTCCTGGGTGGGTTCAAGTGATTCTCCTGCCTCAGCCTCCTGAGTAGCTGGGATTACAGGCATGCGCCACCACGCCCAGCGAATTTTTTATTTTTAGTAGAAAAGGAGTTTCGCCATGTTGGCCAGGCGGCTCTCGAACTCCTGACCTCCTGACCTGCTTTGGCCTTCGAAAGTGCTGGGATTACAGGTGTGAGCCACCATGCCAAGCTTGGACGTTTTTTCTTTTTTTTTTTTTTTACTTTAGAGTTTTAAAATTCATTTTTTACATAATAAGATTTTGCTGAACACAAGTTATAAAGAAAACAACTGTTGGCCGGGCACCGTGGCTCGCGCCTGTTATCCCAGTACTTCGGGAGGCTGAGGTGGGTGGATCAACTGAGGTCAGGAGTTCAAGACCAGCCTGGCCAACATGGTAAAACACTGTCTCTACTAAAAATACAAACATTAGCTGGACATGGTGGTGGGCGCTTGTAATCCCAGCTACTGAGGAGGCTGAGGCAGGAGAATCACATGAACCTGGGAGGCGAGGTTGCAGTGAACCGTGATCACGCCATTGTACTCCAGCCTGGGCGACAGAGTGAAACTCCATCTCAAAAAAAAAAAAGAAAAAAAACAACTATCCTGTTGACCTTGACCTTGAAAATAAATGTAAAGACTGGGCATGGAGGCTCATACCTGTAATCCCAGCACTTTGTGAGGCCAAGGTGGGGCAGATCACCAGCCTGGGCAACATGGTGAAACCCCTGTCTGTAAAAAATGCAAAAGTTAGCCCGATGTGTGGACTTGCTCCTGTAGTCCCAGCTACTAGGGAGGCTGAGGTGGGAGGATCACTTGAGGTGAGGGGGTCAAGGCTGCAGGGAGCCGTGATTGCACCACTGCACTCCATCCTGGGCAACAGAGCAAGAGCCTATCTCAAAAAAAAAAAAAAAAAAAAAGTAAAATGTGATACACGTACATGGTTAGACAAGTTGTGCGCTATAGGAAGAAAATGTCTCCTACCTTCCATTTAGTTATTGGTAAATAAAAATATATGTATCAGCATATATCTACATATTTATTCTAAAAAATAAGTCTTACTCTAGATACTGGCATACATTGTTCTGCCTTTTTTTTTTTTTTTCCCCAAGCTAATGAATCTTCAGTTAACAAGTCACCACAAATGTTTTGTTTTGTTTGTTTTGAAACGGAGTCTTGCTCTGTCACTGAGGCTGGAGGGCAATGGCACGATCTCAGCTCATTGCAACCTCCACCTCCTGGGTTCAAGCAATTCTCCTGCAGGCTTGCCATGCCTGGCTAGTTTGTTTTGTATTTTTAATAGAGACAGGGTTTTGCCATGTTGGCCAGGCTGGCTTAGAACTCCTGACCTCAAGTGATCTGCCCGCCTGGGCCTCCCAAAGTGCTGGGATTACAGGTGCGAGTCACTGCACCTGGCATTCACCACAAATGTTATTTGAAGCAAATATTTGATCTTATATATGTTCTATGATGTATTTAACCAGCCCCCTTGGGTGATAGGTTATTTCTGGTTGTTTGCTATTATAAACAGTGCTTCAGTGACCATTTATATGTATACAATGCTTTTTCAAGTAATTTTGTAGGGTGAATTCCAAGTATTGAAATAATTAGGTCAAAGGATATATACATTTTCAGTTTTTTTTTTTTTTTGAGACGGGGTCTCTTTCCGTTGCTCAGGCTGGAGTGCAGTGGCTCACAGCTCACTGCAGCCTCTGCTTCCTGGGCTCAGGGGATCCTCCCACCTCAGCCACCCAAATAGCTGGGACTACAGGTCTGTGCCACCATATACAGTTCATTTTTTTTTTTTTTTTAGTAGATATGGGCTCTCCCTGTGTTGCCCAGGCTCATTTTCAATTCTGATACTGAGAAACCATTCTTCGCAGAGATCACACTGATTATATTCATGTCAGTGGCGTATGAAATTACCTACTTTTGGCCGGGCGCGGTGGCTCACGCCTGTAATCCCAGCACTTTGGGAGGCAGAGGCAGGTAGATCACCTGAGGTCAGGAGCTCGAGACCAGCTTGACCAATATGATGAAACCCGTCTCTACTAAAAATACATAAATTGGCCAGGCGTGGTGGCGGGCGCCTGTAATTTGGGCGCAATTTGGGAGGCCGAGGCGAGTGGATCACGAGGTCAGGAGATCGAGACCATCCTGGCTAACACCGAGAAACTCCATCTCTACTAAAAATACAAAAAACTAGCCGGGCGTGGTGGCGGGCGCCTGTAGTCCCAGCTACTCGAGAGGCTGAGGCAGGAGAATGGCATGAACCCGGGAGGTGGAGCTTGGCAGTCAGCCGAGATGGCGCCACTGCACCCCAGCCTGGGTGACAGAGTGAGACTCCATTTCAAAAAAAAAAAAAAGTACCTACTTTTTCATACTCTTATCAGTCTTCTCAAACATTTTGACAATTTGATATTTACGCATATTTAAAATCGTATAGTTTTTCTCTAAACTTCTGTTTTAATGAGACATTTTGATAACCACAAGTCCTTTTTCAAAGTCTGCAGATTAATGAGGAACTATAATGATCTGTTAGTTTCCTTGTCTAAAACAGGTACAGACTCAAATGATTCAGAATAAGGTGAACAAACCAACCAAAGAAGGTAAAATAAATGCAAAAGAAATTAACATAAAAAGAAAAATCTATCAATACTGGCCCGGCGCGGTGATTCACACCTGTAATCCCAGCACTTTGGGAAGCTGAGGCGAGTGGATCACTTGAGGCCAGGAGTTCAAGACCAGTCTGGCCGACATGGTGAAACCCCATCTCTACTAAAAATACAAAAGTTAGCCTGGCATGGTGGTGGGCACCTGTAATTCCAGCTACGTGGGAGGCAGAGGCAGAATTGCTTAAACCTGGGAGGTGGAGGTTGCAGTGAGCCAAGATCGCATCACTGCACTCCAACCTGGGTGACAGAGTGAGACTCCATCTAAAAAAAAAAAAAGAAAAAAAAAAAAAAAAAACATATTAATACTAACATGGTACTAAAGAGAAAAAAATACATATATATGAGAAGGCAGTAGTCATCTTAGAAAGAAGGGTGATGCCATGTTTCCCTTCTTCAACTGGTATGTGATGCGAACTTGCCCAAGGGTGGCTAGGAAGTGGGTGACCCCCATTCTGAACTCAGCTCTGTCCTCAAGGTCCAGCTCATAACCACCAGGCCCACTGGGTCACAAATTCCAGCTTCCCCATTTGAAAAGAAAATCAGGTTTGCAGGGGGTTGTCAGCCCGCCTTATTTATCTCACACGGTTGTTAGAGGACAAAATCATCTTTTGTTGGGATTAATAGTTAATGTATGTAAATGACTAAACTTGGCCTGATTGTCATATAAGAATAAAGTACAAAAGCCCAGTTTCCTCAGGCCTGTTTCCTCACTGCAGCCTCCACCTCCTGGGTTCAAGCGATTCTCCTGCCTCAGCCTTCCTAGTCCCCCTGCCTTCCTTACTGCCTCCTCAGGCAG